TTGAACATTGACCGATTCTTTTTGGTACAGTGACTTTGTGTATTCCTTTCATTGTTCATTGATGCTACCTGTGTTATTCAATATTTTGCCCATAGAATCCTGCGATATTGCAGCTCAATGCTTGAATTTTTTCTTCAGTTCTGTCATATTGAGATGTTCTTCCCTTTTGTTTTCTAATTCCAAGTCTTTGCACATTTCATTATAACACTTTATCTTCTCAAGTTGCCCATTGATACATTCTGTTCCGCTCCTTTACTTCATCATTTCTTCTGTTCACTTTAGCTGCTCTACATACAAGAACACTCTTCTGACATCCATTTTGGTCTTTCTTTCTTTTCTGTCTTTCTAATGACCTTTTGGTTTCTTCATGTATGATGTCCTTATGTCAACAACTCATCTGATATTCAGTCATTAGTGTTCAATGTGTCAAACTTATTCTAGAGTTGGCCTCTAAATTCAGGTGGGATATACTCAAGGTGTACTTTGGCTCTCATGGACTTGTTTTAATTTTCTTCAGCTTCTACTTGAACTTACTTATAATCAGTTGAGGCTTTGATCCATAGTTGGCCTCTGGCTTTGTTCTGACTGGTGATATCAAGCTTTTCCATTGTCTCTTTCCATAGATATAGTTGATTTGATTCCTGTGTATCCCATCCAGTGAGGTCCACATATATAGTCACCATTTATGTTGTTGAAAAAAGTCTTTGCAATGAATAAGTCATTGACCTTGCAAAATTCTCTCGTGCAATCTCCACTGTTGTTTCTATCACCAAGGTCGAATTTTCCAACTACCAATGTACATCCCCTCCCCCTTTTATAGAACTTAACACAGTTAGTAATTAGCTTGCTTTTCTAATTACCTATAGTTGATCTCCCTCCTAAGATGTAAGCTTGATGAGGACATCTCATCAAGCCTGTGAACCATGTATCTTCAATACCTAGCTCAGTACCTGGGACGTAGTTGCAGAATAAATAGCCATTAGGCAAATAAAGAGAAGTGGCGATCCCTTTCATAAGCATTCTGAATCCTTAGGCGGACGGCACAGTTACCTCCAGACCCCTCTCTGGCCTCACCTGCAACAGCCTTCAAACTATCCCCTCTAGCCATTCTAAGTAAAAAGCAAACATTGTGGTGCATAACATTCTTGGGGATGCCCCTGCCTGGGTTCAGGAATCCCTCATCTCCCTCTAAAATGATCCCCTCATCCTTCAGTCTCTTCTCTTTCCAACCCACTATAATTTGCTACCTGAATAATCTCTATAAAACAGTACTTTCCACATAGACTATGAATCAAAATGACCTAAGGGAGTTGGGAGTGGAAGTGGGATGGAAAATCAGATTTCCAGGCCCCATCCATGGAGATTCTGATTCAATAGCATACAAATGCTTGAAGGCAAGTTTACTCTTTTTCATTTTATTTATTTTGTTGTTGTTGAGAATATAGACAACAAAATATACACCAATTCAACCATTTCTATACGTATCATTCAGTGACATTGATCATGTTCTTTGAGTTGTGCACCCATTCTCACCCCCTTTTCTAAGTTATTCCTCCTCCATTAACATAAATTCACTACCTCCTAACTTTCCTGACTAATCTTTTGATTTGCTAATATCAGTTTGATCCCATATAAAAAGCTCTTGAAAGAACACAGTGCTCAAGGCAGACATTCTATACTAATTAAGCTAAACTGTTGTTTGGTTTAAAGAAGATTTCAGGAAACACTTTTGGTTTAAGGCTTGAAGATTATCTCAGGATGATAGTTCCAAGGGTTCATCTAGCCTGCATGACTCCAGAAAGTCTAGAGAAAGTCACGCCCCTCTTGATCAGGATTCTTCTATGGAATACTTGATCAAAATATTCAGTAATAGTAGTTGGGCACCATCCAGTTCATGGCAAAGGAGGCAGCTGTTCATGTAGGTAATTAGCCACAAATTCCATGTCCTCTTCCTATTCTGAAGACAGGTTAGGCTTGGACTATACATTTATGGAAACCTATAAATGATCTTTTTTTCCCCTTAAATTACTTCAAGTCATACTTTTGATTGCTTCAAATGAATGGTAACTGATACTT